GGGGAAAGAAGAAACAGGTTGCAGACAGCTGGGCCATGGGGCAGGGCATCTGGACTCCTGGCAAGGACCCAGATCCATAGCATGGGGAGGGGAGACAGGCCAGGCTGATGGTCAGGGGTCCCCAAGGGGCCCAGGGGGCTTGCCAGGGCACTGGGAGAGGACAGGGTCTGGGTTCCGGTGTCCATCACCACCCTGGGAACTTGGAAGCAGGAAGAGATACCCACCCCCAAGTCCAGAGGGGCTACAGCACAAAGGCCTCAGCTTACTCTTCTGTCACTTGGGCTGTAGCGATGCAGGGTCCCTAGGGTCCCACAGGCTTGTGGAAAAGCCTGTTGGCCTTGGATCTCCATCCCCGACCCACTGTGCTCCCAGTCCTGGGAAAATGCTTTGTACTCCCTCGAGGTCCTTCTGAGCAGGAGACAGACTGGGGGGTTGGGGGGCTGAGGACCTGGGTACGCAGAACGTGGCAGAGCACTGACAACTAGTCTGGGGACCAAGGTCAAGACCCTCCTTGTTGCAGCCTCAGGGTCCCCATTTGGAAGAGGTTCCAGAATCACTGCTCTGGTCGGGCTGAGGAGGCCTTAGGAAGGAACGGAGCACCAGGACAGGAGAGGGAAATGGGGACAAGGGAGGATTCTGAGGTTTCTCACATCGCCCCCAGAGCCTGAAGATCCTGCTCCTGTGAGAGACACAGAGACAGAGACAGAGAAGGAGACAGAGAATGAACACAGGAAAGAGGGAACCAGAAGTCACAGACTTTCCTCGATCAGCTTGGAAATGACATCCCATTATTTTGCCCCATTCTATGCCTGAGAGTGCAGTCACACAGGCCATCCACCCTGGAGGGGAGGGGATTCCATAGGGATGTGTGACCAGGATTCGGGGATGCTGGGAGCCACTGTGGGGACTGCCCAGCACATGGGCAGAGATGAGGCCCTGGGACCTGAGCCTAACCCTAATGGGAGCCCCTGGAAGTCTGTGTTGTGAGAGGACAAGGTCAGAATAAGGTCATTGCAATCTTCCCACGGGGACTGGGACACAGGCAGGAGGGGGGTGCCTTTGCCCGGACCCCAGAGCAGACCCAAACCCCTCTGTGTTCCATGCCAAGCCCAGCTCCTGGCTCATCCTTGCATTGCCAAGTATGCACCAGCCTCCTGTGATAGCAGGTACGGAACATGTGTAGAGGTCCTACCCCTGATGGCGTCCCTAGAAGTAGAAGCCAGAATACCCCAATGTGCAGATGGGCAGACTGGGGAGGCCCTGAGAGGCACAGGGTCTGTCCTGGGTCACAGCCCTGGGCACGCGCAGGAGCCCGGTCTGAACCCAGCTCTGTGTCCTCACAGCGGGGACACCGGCTGCACCCAGGCCTCCCGGGGGCTGTGGGTGGTCTGTGTGGGTGTCACTGTATGGATGGGGCATGGGGGGAGGGTGAGCAGCTGGGGGAGGGGGGCCCTTGGGGGGCTCTTGTGTGAGGAGGAAGTTGGGTAAGGTCCACTTCCCTGACAACAGAGCCCAACAGAATTTGGAACCCCGGTAACCAGGCACCCACATTCCAGAGACAGCCCCCTGACCAGCTCATTTCATTGGAGATCCTCCAACAAAAAACAGGTTCGGGTGTTGCTTCCCAAAGTCCGGAGGCCGCAGGCTGAAGAAATCGCGCCCTGCAAATGCTGTCCCCCACTGGGGATGTCGAATCAGGGCTCCCACCACCTCTGGCCATTTGGCCAGAAGGACAGGAAGGTGACACCAGGAGGCCCAGAGCCGGCCACCCAGCCCCACTCACTCTGATATGACCTGTGTAGCCCCAGGTGCCCTCCCTGTGTGTGTGTGTGTCTGTGTGTGAGTGTGTGTGAGAGTGTGTGTGTCTCCGTGTGTGTGTGTGTATCTGTGTGCGTGATTGTGTGTATCTGTGTGTTTGCATGTGTGTGTGTGTGTGTAAAGAGGGGTTATGGGGGGTGAGGCCACCCCGAGCAGAAGCAGGCTGATGAGGGGTCAGATACTCAGTGGGCAGGTCATGTTCAAGGTCAAGGATGGCTGTGTGGGATGGGGTGTGCGGGCACTGCCCCTTCTACCCAGGGTTTATCCCGATAGCCCTGCAGGGATGGGTCACTGCATCCCGGGTGCAGGGCTGTGCACTCACAGGTCTGCGTCTGATCTGGGAGCAGCAGGGGGACTGGGCAGGAGGACAGTGAGGATGGCCGGGCAGGGCTGTGATGCCTTGGGGTTGTCTACCAGTCCCTGTCTTCGCAGAAGGCCATGGATGACATTGAGAGGAGCCTGGTGGACATGCCCTCCTCCCTGACAGAGGGAGTGACCCCACAGGGCTCTCCAGAAGCAGGGCCTGGGGATTGCCTGGAAAGGCCTCTGACACCGCCCAGACCACTGTCCCAGGTGGTTGGTCACTGGACTGTGGTCCAGGAGCCAGAGCCCACCGAAGCCGAGCCCGAGGCTGAGAAGGCTGGGGCTGGGTGTTTGTGGTGTGTGGGGATGGGTCGGTGTTGTCCCCACAGGGAGGAGCCCCCAGAGGCTGGTGAGCTTTTCTCCTCTCACAGCTGCTTCATCTGAGGAGCTAGAGCCAGCTCCAACTCCATCGGCAGCTCTGGAGGAAGGCGTGGTGTCTGCAGCGACTTCAGGAGGTGACCAGGAGGCGGCAGGTGACCCGGCACCTGCCCACGGAGAACTTGACGTGGGCCAGGAAGAATGGGCACCTGCTCCTGCCCCAGCCCCTGCCCCGTTCCTGCCCCTGCCAGAGCCACTGCCCCTTCCCCTGCCTGTGCTCTTGTCCTGCCACTCCCCTGCTGCTCCCCCTGCCCCTGCCAGAGCCGCTGCCCCTGCCTGTGCTCTTGTTCCTGCCCCTGACCCAGGTCCTGTCCCTGCTCCTGCCCTGGATCCTGCACCTGCCACTACTGCTGACCCCGTCCCTCCCCTTGCCCCTGCCCCTGGCCCTGGCCCAGCTCTTACACCTGTCCCTGCCCCTGTCCTAACCCCTGCCCCTTCCCCTGCCAGAGCCACTGCCCCTTCCCCTGCCCCTGCCTGTGCTCCTATTTCTGCCCCTGACCCAGCTCCTGACCCTGCCCCAGCCCCTTCCCCTTCTGCAGTTCCTGCTGCTCCCCCTGCCCCTGCCCCTTCCCCCGCCCCTGTTCCAGCTCCTGTTCCTGCCCCTGACCCAGGTCCTGCCCTGGATCCTGCACCTCCCACTACTGCTGACCCCATCCCTCCCCTTGCCCCTGCCCCTGGTCCTGCTTTTACACCTGTCCCTGCCCCTGGCCCTGCTCTTACACCTGTCCCTGCCCCTGGCCCTGCCCCTATCCTAACCCCTGCCCCTACTCCTGCTCCCGCAGGGCTCCCAGAGCCACATCCAGAGCCCACAGCCCTGCGGGGAGAGCTCCTTGTACAATTACCCTTAGTCCCATCACCTGACCCCGAAGCCCCACCAGATTGTTTCATCCCCTCCCCCTATGTTCTTTCTCTCTGGTACATATTAACTGTTATTTGATCTTTTCATGTTCTGTACACTGTTTATTATTTGTTTTAAATAAAATTACTTGTTTTCAATTGAACATGTGATGAGCATAAGTACCTTCCCAACGCTGTGCCACCACACCACAGAACATTGCTGCGGAATATCTCATATCCCAAAGGAGTCCCCGAACCAGAAGACCCCCCTGCCCATTTCTCCTGCAGCCCAGACCATCAAAACCCCTAAGCTGCTTTCTCTCCCTGTTCCTTTCCCTGTTCTGGATGTTTCTATACGTGGAATCACGCAATAGGAGCCTTTGTGTCTGCCCACCTATTTTCAAAGGGGACTCGTTTTCTTCTGTTTATTTGATATAGAATTTCCCTTATTCGATATTGAAATCCCTGATGGATTACAGATCAGAGAGGCCGCTTTAGGAATTATGGGCACAATCTCGGGGCCAAGACCCCTGTTCCTGCTGGGACACCACAGCCTGACCCCAGACAGGACAGGGCTGGTTCCTCCTGTGGCCCACACAGAAACCAGGGAAATGCAGAAAGCTGGGCAAAAGCATTGCAGGGAGAGAGCAGGGAATGGAACAACGCTAATGCCCAAGGAGATGGATGGGATCCACAGTCCTGGTGCACAGGGTGGAGAGAATGCCAGGTGGTGCTAACGCGGGCACGGGGTCTCTCTGCGCCCAGAGGGAGACCTCGGGGCCCTCTCCCCTGAGACCCACCGTCTGCATCCAGGACCCCACCTGTAAGACCACACGGATGTGATCTCCACAGGGAGACACCTAGATGGAAAGAGGTGTGCAGGTGTGAGAGAGAGAGCCCGAGACTGGAGATGTGCATCAATCCCGTCCTGATGGTCACCTCAGGGTGGGACTTGCAAATGCCTCTTCTCCCTTAGTGGTGTTTCCATGTTTCATGTACAGTGTGTCTTACTTGTGTAATTGCAAAAAGAGTCAAGTCCTAGGTTAAGTGTTCTCCATGTCTCAGTCATCTGCGGACCAAGCACATTATTCATTTTTCATCATCAAGGATTTATTACAAGGACAATAAATGTTTATCATAGTAAAATAAAGAGAAGCAATCTAAGTGAAAGTAGCAGAGCCTCCCACCCCCGAGAGCCCTAACAGGGAGTGGTCACCTTTCCAGTCCTTCCCCTGTCTGTCCCCATGTGTAAGAGTGCCCGCCCCTGGGTCCCGTCCCACACGCGCCCGCGGGTCCCTGTGTGTCCCCTTGGGAAGCAGATTCACACTAGCTGGACAAACCCGCCCTGACACTGCTCTGTGACCTCAGCCTCCAGAGCACAGCCCTCCCCCCTTGCACATTCTTTCTGTGAACCACACCTTTAATGACACCCTCTGGCAAGAAGGTCCTCCATCTGCCCTGGAGATTGGGCGGCTACACACACCTGTTCTCCCACATCCTCCTCCTGGGGCTGTGAAAACAGGTCTCACGGACATGGGCTTGTGAAGATGGACTGGTGTCTGGTGGTGCCCAAGACTTCCTTCTGTCCTTAGGTCCCTGGAAAAAATCATTTCTTGTCAACAGGACCTGTCTCCTTTTCTTCAGTCTCCCAGCTCCTTTAGCCTTTGGGGGTCACTGGGCACGCACCCCCCTTCCCGGAAGAGCACGCACGTGTATGGGGGCACCTGTGTGTTCGTGTGCGGCAGGGTGGGCACCGGAGCATGTGCTCTTCCTGCAACCTGCTTTTCCAATGGGTGGACGCTGGCCCCTCCATTCCCCTCCTCCCAGGCTTTTTCTGTCACTGCATAAGAATTTGCCCAGAGTCTGGGCTCTGGACCAGGGGCCATTCCACTGTTTTGTCTGCATCACGGAGCTGTTGGGAACATCTGTGACCATCCTCCTTGTTTATTTTCAGTCTCCCTCTCGTGGAAAACTGATGTGAAGTCCTGTCTGCAGTCTAGCACATCCACAGTCTCCTTGTCCACTCTTTCCCACATGTGTCACCTCACTGAATCGCCCTGATAATTCCATGAGGAAAGAGGGATCATTGTTCCATGTCGCTGATGGGAACACTGAGGCTTCAGGAGACTTGCCCAATTGCACCCAGCAGAGGGCAGAGCCAGGATTTGAACCCAGGGCCTGAGGACTCTGCGTGGCCCACCTCACCGGGAGACTGCACCCTGAAGCTGGGTCCTGGGAACCTTTGGTCTGGTGCCCACATAAGCCTCATGCTGCCAGGGGGCAGACAGGCTGGACCAGGTCCTGGGCATAGCCACAGAGCCCAAGGCTGGCCCTTCCCTGGCCACTCTTGCCCAGCTCCAGGCACCACTGTGCAGCAGTGCTTAGGAAGGAACATAGTCCCCAGCATCAGATAGGTGGGGTTCCTAGTCCCTGCTCATCCTCTTTCCAATCTGTGACCCTGGGCACATCTCTCAGCCTCATCTGGGAAATGAGGAAGTAACTGGGCCTGCTGAAGGCTTGTAGGAGAATTTCCTGTGGAATGACTTGTGCATCCCTCGCCCAGTGCCTGGGAGGTATTTTGAGCCACTGCCAGGCTGTCCCAGTAGTCCTCAAGGACACAGAGTCCAGGAAGACCCTCCTCAGGGGCCCTTGCTGTTGCTTTGCTCCCAGGATATTCAGCCTGGTTTGGGGATGAGATGGAGAAGATCTAGGACAAGAGCGTGTTGCAGGCAAAGGAGGCTCAGTGGCCGGAGGACAGCTGGACGCACCCCGTGGACCATTCAGGGCCCATGCTGGGATGCCCTCCATCCCCACCCAAATCACGGCTCCTGGTGCATGGTCCTGGCTTCTGTGGTTTCACTGGCTCCCTCATTCCTTGACCTACGAGCTAGTAATTCATCGTGGCCACCAGCTGAGCTTCATCAGGGAGCCCGACCCTCTTTGGCTTGGGTGGGCCACATGCAATCAGTGGAAGGCCATTCAAGGAAACGGACTGAGGTCCCTGGAGGAAGAGGGAATTCTGCTTCCAGAATGTCTTCAGGCTTAAGGTGCAATGCCAGTTCCTCAGGGGACAATTGGGAAACTGAGGCCAGGGAAGAGGCAGAGACTGGCCCAGGACACTCAAGGTGAGTAGAGTCCAAGAAGAAGAGAGGGTTCCCTCCTCCTAGACCAGGGCTCCACCCTCCCATGGGGTTTGCACTGGGAATGGGAGCATCTGAGGTTTTGGGGCCCCCTGCCCACACCCTTCCATGGGGGGCCCTTTTCTCTGGGCATCCCCACCTGGCACAGTTATACACACGCACACACACACACACACACACACACACACACACTGACTGCCCAGCTGGGCATCAAAAGGGGAGTGCATACGGGAGAGGTGACAAGGGGGAGAGAAGAAAGAGGTCTGAGGCAGCTGGGCCATGGGGCAGGGGCATCCCGAGTCCTCGCAACATGCTCAGCGCCCTGAATATGAGGAGGGGAGACTTGCCAAGCTGATGGCCGGGATGTCTGCCAAATGGCCATGGGGCACATGGGCTGGGGCCATCCCTAGGCACCGTCAAGAGCTCAAGGGGCTAGGGTTCTGTTTCCACTCCCCTTTCCGTCTAAAACTGGGAGGAACCCCCTAGTGTGCGGGCAGCCAGAAGAGAGGCAGCCTCAGTTTCTTCTTGTCAGTCAGGGAGCTTGGAGTGAGCGACTCCAAGGCACGTGCAGCCAGGACACGTGTGTGTTCACCTGGGTTCTCGAGGGGTGGCGAGTGCACCTTGGACATCCTGTGCATGGTCTGCAGAGCCTGCAGCTCCCAACCCTTTGCCCCAGGGGCCCTGGGAGAGCCGATGGCACTTCTCAGGCCAGATCACCTGAGCCCTCTGGGTGAGGGCGCCTGCGTCCCCAGCCCCGCCATTCCTTGTCCCTCCCCCCTCTCTGGGTGGAAACTGTGGGACACAAAGACCCAGAGCCACGCTACAGAGAGACTCTTCTCCAGCAGGGCCGACACCCTCCCAGGAGTAACCACATGGTCAAGGACACAGAACAACTTCAGCTCCATAGTCGCCAAAGTGCACAGGGCACCTTTCCTGCCTTGCTCTGGGGGCCCTAGCACAAGAGAATCCTTTCTGAGCAGGGGTCCCGGATCCTAAGGTGCGCAGCGTGTCCTACAAAGGAGGCTCCTGGGTCCTCGGTGTGGTAGTTAGTGGGACTAACCAGCTAGAGATCACCTGGTTAGTTCACCATGTCTTTACAGATGGGGAGCAGCCTGAGACCGGGAGTGTGGTGGGCAGCAGGCCCTGGGAGGTTCTCCATGGTCCTCCCCTGGAAGACACGTGGACTCCATCCCCATCACGCTCCTGCATCTGGCACAAGCCACCATCTACCACCTCCCCAGCCCAAGAGGGAGGGAGGCAAGAACAAACATGGAGCCATATTTATGGAGTTCCTGCGGAGCACCAGCAAGGACTTAATCCTCTCACTAAAGAAGACAGAGGTACCAAATCTGACCCATGAAAAAGCTGAATCCCAGAGTTCATCAGTTAGCCAGGGTCTCCAGAAAGGAAGAGGTTAGGCCCAGGATATGAATCTGTGCCCCAAGATGCCAGAGTCCGGAGCCCGGCACTGTGCAATCTGGCCTTGGGACTAACCAGAAAAGCACTTTATCATCGTGTGATTGGGTTTGCAGGCTGGAGCAGAGCACACATACCAACGGTCTGGGACTCATACTTGCAGCACGGCACAAACCGTCCGAGGGGAGCGCAGCGGGAAACAGAACCCACAGGACTCCTCACTGCTAACTCGCCGGACACCCCCTGATGCGCGCATCCCACGTCCCTTTCCTCTCTTCCCAAAGGGGGCCCCATACTGTCACCTCCAAATTTCGTTTTCTCGTCTCTGACCTTCATGGAATGGAATCAGACAGAGCGTCCGCTGTCATGCCTGGCTATTTCGTCATGCTTCTGAGACTCACCCCTCTTCTTGGATGGGGCTCAGTTGATTTTTATTTCCGTAGAGTATTCCACTCTAAAGCATGTCACTCGCTTCATTTACCCACGCGGCGACTGAGCCACTTTTGGGTTGTTCTCACTGTGCTGACAGGCAGAAGAACGCTGCTCTGAGCCCTGCCCGCACAAAAGGGCGCATCTGGGTTGGGTGTGCGCCTACTGTGGAATGGGCGGGTCAGGGAATAAGTGTGTGTCGATCTTGGGAGATCGTACCAAAGAGATTTCCAAGTTCACACTCACAGCGGGGTGTGAGAGTTGCGGTGGGTCCACATCCTCACCAACATGAGGTGTGCTCAGCATGTTTCAGCAATGGGGTCTATGTGTGGAGGTGTCTCACTGTGGATTCTGTTTGTATTTCCTTGAGAAGGAATGATGTGGGCACCCTTTCATACACTTCTTACCATTTGGCTACCTTTCTTGCTAAATGCCTCGTCAGATCTTATGCCATGTTTTCTGGTGGATTGTCTGTATGTTGAGCAATACGGTGGGTACGTATCCTAGATACGAGTCCTTTTGATGTGGCTTGTAGTAGTGGTGTAGGGGTCTAGAACCAATGGCCTAGAAACAATTCTTGAGACCTCTTTGGTACAAAAGGGCAGTTTTATTAAATCAGGGGAACAGGACCCCTGGCAGGAAGAGCTGCTGTCCAGGGATTGTGAGGAGCAACTGATTATACACTTTGGGGTTGGGGGAAGTAAAGACAAAGGAAGTTATAAATGGATTTTCATATGCTAAAGAGGACTCACAGGATTTTGGAGGCCTTGCTATGGTCAAGCTAAGGTTGTTTTTCCGTCTAGCAAGGCATTACCATTAAGACAGTTGGGACTTTCCTGGAGGAATCTTATACTCTGCCTGCCTCAAGTATTTGTCAATGGGCTGCAGGTTAGGACATTTAATTTTATGTCCATTTCCTTCTGCCTTTGTTTCCCACGTCACTTTGTCCAGTAAAAAGATGACAAATGTGTATCCCCATTCTGTGCCTGCCTTTTTTACTCTTAAAGGTGTCTTTTGATAAAAATAGGCGTTCATTTAAATGATTCCCAATTAATCAATTTTTTCTTTGTGTTTAGTACACTTCATGCTCCAATAAATCTTTGCTGGCCCCAGGATCTTGAAATTATTTCCTAAGGTACCTTTTAAAAATATTATTCTCTCAAACTTCCACATTTTATTTGAGATCCACCTGGCATTGATTTTTGTTCATGGTATGAGATAAGAGTAAAGGTGAATTTTTTTCCCATATGGTAACCAGTTGACCCTGGACCATTTACTCAGAAGTACCCTCTGTCACTGCTTTGCAGAACCTCCTTGCTATAAACAAAATGTCCCTAGGAGTGAGTCTGTGTCTGCCTTTATTTAAATGGAATCTTGTAAACTATGGGAGGAGTTAAGATGGTGAAGTAGGGGGACCCTGGGCCTTCCTGGCCCCTGGAACACAGCTGTATTGAGGCCACATCGCTTGGAACACACAGGAAATCGATGCAAAGATAGGAAGAAGGATGTCCACCATTGGAGGGAGATAGTGGGGCAGGTGCAAGGTGCCTGGAAAGGAATTGGGGAAGAGAAAAGCTGCCCTGCTGTGGTGGGGAGGGAGCCCTTTCTGTGGGGAGAGAAAAGGAAATGGAGAGAGGAGTTGAGAGAGCGTGGTGTCGGGTTTGAACAAGAAAACCTCTTGGACCAGGGACTGGGGAGACGGGGGAACTGAGTGTCACAGGTTTTTTGCACACAGTGAGTGGAGCTCAAACAAAGTTTTGGAAGTGTGGGACGTTCCCAGGAGTGGAGCTGTAGGGTGGGCTCCTGGAGAGGAGGAGGGTACTGGCCCCCCACCCTCCTGGAGATTCCTTTGCAGCAGGAGGGACCCCAGACAGAGCAGTGGGGCAGGCCCCCTGAGGAAAGCAGGGGTGCTCACACCAGTGATGGAGGGCTCCCTCCCATGGAGACTGCTGGCCTGCACATGCTGGCCAGACCTCCCCCTGCCTGGATGGCCGGTGGGGGTGGGGTGGGTGGGCCTGGCCTCTGGATGGAGCATCCCCAGGGCTGCCCCAGGGGGCTGGGTGGAAGGAAGGGCCAGACCACTTACTTTGCTGTTTGTCCTTCTACCTCCAGGGCCATCTCCTCCATTCTGGGCCCCTGGCTGGACCAGGACTCAGAGCACTTGTCAGCCCCAGACTTTCCCTGCCTCAAGCAGCTGGTGGCCTATATGCAGCTCAACATGCCCGGTTCCAACCTAGAGCGCCATGTCCACTTCCCTGGACTCTGCTGGAGGACCTGGACCCACAGAGGTCATGCCCAAGGTTGAGAAGACCAGGGGTGGGTATATGTGGGTGTCTGGGGATGGGGAGGTGCTGGGCCCCACCAGAAGACACCCTGAGAGGCTGGGAACAAGAGCCAAGACTGGGCTCAGAGCGCCCAGCTGGTGGACTGCAGTCTGGAAGAGGTCCTGATGAGGGTTGCTGGTTGCGACTTCTCTGGGAGGCTCTGGGCTGTGCACACACGGGTGTGTCTGATCTGGGAGCAGCAGGGGGACTGGGCAGGAGGACAGTGAGGATGACTGGGCAAGGCTGTGATGCCTCGGGGCCGGCTACCGGTCCCTGTCCTTGCAGAAGTCAACGGATGACATGGAGAGGCGGCTGGCGGACATGCCCTCCTCCCTGACAGAGGGAGTGACCCCACAGGGGTCCTCAGGAGCAGGTGCTGGGGATTGCCGAGGAAGACCTCCAACACCACCCAGACCACTGTCCCAGGTGGTTGGTCACTGGACTGTGGTCCAGGAGCCGGAGCCCACCGAAGCTGAGCCCCAGACTGAGAAGGCTGGGGCTGGGTGTTTGTGGTGTGTGGAGATGGGTCAGGGCTGGCCCCACAGGGAGGAGCCCCCAGAGGCTGGTGTGGGGCCAGGAGGAACGACTGGGCTCAGAGCACCCAGCGAGTGGACTGCAGTCGGGGAGACGTCCCCGTTGAGGGTTCCTTCCTGGCTGTGGCTTCTCTGGGAGGCCCTGGGCTGGGCTCTGTCTCTGCAAAGGCCCACGGAGAGCAGGCACGGGGGTGAGCTTTTGTCCTCTCGCAGCTGTGAACCCATCTGACCCATCAGAGACATCTCCAACTGCAGATTTCGAGGAGCCAAGTCCAGGAGTGGGAGCCAGTGCAGCTCCAGAGCCAGAGGACAGACCACCTGCAGCTGGGGGTCACCTGCAGCAGCAGCTTCTGAGCTGCAGGCCACTTCACTCGTTGCATCAGCAGCTCTGGAGGGAGGGAGATGCCTCCAAACACCGCGTCTGCCCATTGTGAGGAGCCAGGTGCAGGAGCAGGAAAAAAATGCAGCTTCCAAGGGGCTCTGCAAAGACAGGGACCAGTAGCTGGCTCGGAGGCATCACAGCCCTGCCCAGCCATCCTCACTGTTCTTTACCCACTCACCCTGCTGCTCCCAGATCACAGTCCTGCACCTAGGATGCAGTGATATATACCTACAGGGCTTAGGATAAACCCTGGGGAGAAGGATGCCGCCCCAGCACACCCTGTCCCATTCAGCCAGCCTTGACCTGGGGTGTGAACATGACCCACCCACCGGGCTCTGATACCTCATCACCCTGCTCCTGCTCAGGGTGGGCTACCCTGCCTGAGACCTCTGCACACACACACACACACACACACAGGAGGAGAACTGGGCTGCACAGTCAGATCACAGCGGTGTCTGGCTGGCCTGGCTCCCTCTGGGCCTCCCTGTGTTACCTTTGGGTCCCTCCAGCCAAATGGCCAGAGGTGTCAGGGGTGAGACCTGACCCCAGGTCTGCAGTGTAGGAAACGGCTCTCACTGTCGGCTTTGCTGAGACCACATCCTGGGGACATCAGGATACAGCAGGATTGAAGCATCTCCAGCCAAGTGAACTGAGTAGGAAGGGGCTGTCTCTAGAATGCGGGTGCCGTGACAACCCTTGGGCATCTTGGGGACGCCCTGGCCATCAGCCTGGCAGGTCTCCCCCGAGCCCCATGCTACAGCCCCGGGCATGTTCCCAGGAGACAATGCACACACCCCACGGCCCAGCTGCCTCCAACCTCCTTCTTCTTTCCCCCTTGTCACCTCCAGGGTCCACGCCCCCTTTGACCCCCCTGGGGAGTTAGTTTGTGTGTGTGTGTCTGCGCGCGCGTGCGCGCACGCAGAGCCTTGTGTGTATGTGTGCCCATGCGAGGATGACCAGAGGAAAGGGCTCCACATGGGAGTGTGGGCAGGGGTCCCCCAGGATCTTAGGGGCCCTCATTCCCAAAGAAAACCCCATGGGAGGTGAAGCCCTGGCCTCGGAAGCCAGGACCATCCCCATTCCTCTGGCCTCTGCTCACCTGGTGGGTCCCAGGCCAGTCCCTGCCTCTCCTGCCCTCAGTTTGCCGACTGTCCCATGAGGGCTTGGAGGAGGAACTTCATTAGTGTGGTTCGGCGTGGCCGGTGGGCTCCCACCTTTTGGGTGGACGTGGCGCAGGTGCACTCTGGGTGGGCGGGGCCCTCCCACCAACGGTCGGTGAGCGGCAGGTGGATCCTGCGCAGGCGCACACGCGGCCGAGCAGACAGCGCCTGCGCGGGACCCCACCTCCCAGCAGGCATGCGCAACACCAAGGGGCTCCCTGTGGGGTTGGTCCCACGTGTCCCTATCTCCACTGCCTGCTCAATGACCCTCACGTCCTCTTAGGCCGGGGCCAGCCCCACTCTCGCCAAGCAGGGCCGCTGGACTGAGTGGACATGGAGACCTGGGGACTAAATAGAAATGAAATATAACCCCCACCCTGCCGTCCTGGCCCCCACGTTCCACTCCAGTGTTCGTCTCGGTGCATGGCGGGGTCAGGGGAGGGTGACGGGGACACGTCTGGGCAGGGAGGAGGTCAGGCCGCCTTTTCCTCCTCTACATCCCCTCCCCCTGTCTTCCTGGCAGCAGCCCCTCTCCCCAAAATCCGGCACTCAAACACCTTCATCTCCCTGCTTTAATCCCCAACACATCCTCCTGAGGTGGGAGTCACTGACCCCATCTTCAAAGTAGAAACCTGAGGTCCCAAGAGTTCCCATAGGAGCTTGCCAGTCACAGGGCTGTGACATGGCCCTGCTGTGGATTTGAACCCAGGTCAATCTGACCCAAAGCCTGAGCTTGCACAGAAGCCTGAGGAAGTGGCCTTTGAGCCCAGCCTTGGAGGTGAGGCCATCCTGGATGGGGGCCATGGGGGGGGATGGCAGGGGGCTCTGAGGGGCAAAGGCTTGGCAGGCTCCCTGGAGGAGGCTGGTTGGGGTGAGGAGTGCACGCTGGGGAGAGCACCTACCAGATCATGCAGGGCTCTCTGGATGGGGGGCAAGGAGTCAGGGGACACAATCCGGGCAGTCTTATCAGAGCCACAGCACCCCAGATTTGGAAGGAGCTTGGTGGGCATATTATTGCCCCCACTCAAGCATGGGTATCCAAGCACCAGCCAGGGGTGTTGAAGCTGCCTCAGTTTCCTCCAGTGTAGAGTGGCGTTCATGGTGGTCGTCTGCATCCTTCCAGGCCTGGGCATGCCACCTGGAAGGTCCAGACATGGCTTCTTGTCAGAGTAGTTGTTCCAGTGAGGTCAGTACCCAGAGAGGTCTGAGTGAGGGGACCAAAGGGATGCCCCACATGCCCAGTTCAGCAGGAAGCTCTTGTAGTTGGTGCCAATCTTCATGTCCAGGCTGATGAGGATGAGGCAGCATCGCCCACCTGCTGGATGGAGAGTGGCAGCAAGGAGCTGTGGTTGCAGACCCTGAGACACAGAGCTCGTGTGAGCCCAAGGCTGCCACGGATGTGGTGGAGACTGAGGAGGAGGAGGAGGCGCTGTCTGAGGCTGAGATGATGCCTGAGGTCTCCAGGGACGACTGGGAGGTCAACTCCAGAATGAGAGGAATTGCAAGATCAGCAGAAACACTGGATTGTGCAGGGCACTCCACGCCAGCATAGCCCAGAGGCTTCTAGAGACTGAGTATGCCTGGCTTGTTGTGGGTATGTTGTGGGGACCCAGGCTCCAGGAAGGGATGTCTGTCAGGGAGAAAGGGTAAGGAGGTCACCTTCTTTTCCTGGCCATCAGGGACCCTGGGACAAAGCATGTTGATCTCCTCCACATCCGGCTGGAGTTGCTGGTTGAGTGCATGCAGACCAGGCAGGCAATGTCCCTACTGCTTAGGTAGGGGCTGCATCTGAGCTGCTCACAGGACTTGGAGTGAGGGCACCTTTTGGTCTTGGGTGCAGTGTTGGGTGTCTGGTGGTGGAATTGAAGGGTTGACATTGCACTGATCAGACACCCTGGGTGAATGGGTGCTCTTGGGGCTCAGACAACCTGGGTATCCATGAACACAGGTGGCAGTGACCCACACATGGGAAGGTATGAAAGAAGTGCACAAAAGACAGTGCCCAGTACTACATAGGGCTTCCTACCCATGGACAGTGCTCCTTGGCAAAATTCAGCTAGTCTTCTTGTTCCCAGAGCACAGAAGTTGCTCAAGGCTGTGATTGGTCCATGGGAAGCCCAGTCTATTGCTGGACATCATACCTTGCAGTAGGAGAGGTTCAGCCTGAAATTACAGTCTGGGGGTGGCCTGGAATGCCAGGTGAGGTAGAAATTGCCCAGGTAGACTGATCCACTCCAGTCTGTAATTGCTTCTCTACCCAACAACCCAGACCTAGATGGTGGCCTTCTGACTGGCTGGTGTCTGTTACTGCTATTGGGTTCCTCTGGTTAAGAAGAAGAATGAGGAGGAGGAGGGAGAGAAGAAGAAGAAGAGGAAGGAGGGGGAGGAGAAGAAGAAGATCAAAGTTAGTAGAACAAAAGAAACTGTGAGGATTAGATCAGATATATGGAAGAGAAGAGCACTCAAGAAAATTAGTGAAAACAATAGTTCTTTCTTTTTGAGATTTACCAAATTGATAAAAGAGACAAAAATGGAACCACTTTGTACCAACAAATTGGCTCACTAAGATGAAGAAGATAAATTCTGAGAAGCACACAAACTACCAAAACTGCCTCCAGAAGAAATGGAAACCCTGAGTAGACCTACAATAAGTAAAGAGACTGAAGCAGTAATGAAAACTTCCCAACAAAGAAAAGCCCAGAACCTGATGCTCTCCCTGGTGATTTGTCCTACACATTTAAAGAAGATGTAACATTAATGCTTCTAAAATTCTGCATAAAGTACAAGAGGAGGGAACACTTCCCACGTCACCTTATAATGCCAGCATTGTCCTGATTCCAAAGACTGACAAAGACCTTACAAGAAAAGACAACTGCAGGTCAAAATCCATTATGAAGAGAGATGTAAAAATCCTCAACAGAATTCTAGCAGGCAGAATCTAGCAGCACATTGACAGGACCATACATGACCAAGTATGATTTACACCAGGAGTACAAAGGCTGTTCAATGTAGGTAATTAATGTCATATACCACATCAATAACATGATTGTCTCAACTGATGTAGGATAAGCTTCAACAAAAGCCAAACCTTTTCATAACAAGTGCTCTCAATAAAATAGAAATAGAAGATTAAATTGTGATAAAAGAGGGGTGCCTGGGTGGCTCAGTGGGTTCAGTGTCCGACTCTAGGTTTGGGCTCAGGTCATGATCTCCTGGGTGGTGAGACTGAGCTCCAGGGAGGGCTCTGCACTCAGTGGGGAGTCTGTTTGGAGATTCTCTCCCTCTGCCGCTTCCTGCTCTCTGGTTCGTGCACTCTCTCGCTCTCTAAAATAAATGAGTTTTTTAAAAATTATGGTTAAGAATATTTATGAAAAAACTCATATGTATATCATTCTCAGTGGTGAAAGACTGAGAGTTTTCTCCTTAAGATGATAAATAAGTCAAGGATGCCCACTTCCACCACTTCATTTCAATGTGTCATGGAACTCTGGTCAGAGCAATTATACAAGATGCATAATTAAAAGCCCCCAAATGGAAAGGAAGAAGGAAAAGTGTATTTATATAAGACATGAGCTTATATCAAATGATCCTAAGAATTAAAAAAACTCTGAGATTATATTTCCTCCAACGTACAAGCAGAGAAGACCAACACTTAGAGGAGTCAATGGAATACCATTGAGAATCAAGGAATACAAACATGTACGGTCAGTTGTTTTCCAACATGGAGACCAAGATCATTCAACGAGGCAAAAACTTGTGTTGGGAAACTGGATATCCACATACAAAAGAGTGAAGTCACAACATTACCTTACACCATGTAAAAAAGTTAACTCCAAATGAATCAAAAACCAAATCTAAGAGCAAAAACTCTTAACACCCTAGAAATAAACTAAGAGCACATAGGGGTAAATCTTCATTCCCTTGGATTTGGCAATGGTGTCTCTAATATGGCACCCAAGCACAAGCAACAACAGAAAAAACAGAGATACAGGACTTCATCATTGCTAAAAACTTTTGTGAATGAAAGGACAATCTCAAGAGACTGTAAAGAAACCCCCCCCCAAAAAAATGGTAGGAAATATTTGCAAATCATAAATCTGATAAGGGTCTTGCATCTAGAATATATAAAGAACTCCTACAACTTAAGAACATAAACAATCCCATTAAAAATAGTAGACATTTCTCCAAAGAAGATACACAGATGGCCCACTAAGCACATGGGAAGATGATCATCATTAGATAGTAGGGAAATGCAAGCCAACACCACAATGATGTACTTTCCGTGCCAGGCAGGGGTGGGCTATACTGAATAAACAGAAATAACAAGTGTTAGAGAGGATTTTGAGAAATAGGAACCCTCATACACTGCTGGGGGAGATGTAAAATGGTAGAGCCACTGTGGCAAAGGGTGTAGAAAGTCCTCCAAATGTTAAGCATACCATTATCATTTGACCCAATTCCACTCAGTATCTAACCAAAGGAACTGAATACACGTACTCTAACATAAGCCTGCACATAAGTATTCATAGCAGCACTATTCACAATAACCAAAAGATGAAAACAACCCACATGTCCATCCACAATTGAATGGATAAACACAATGAGGTGTGTTCATACAATGGAATTCATTCAGCCATAACAGGAATGAAGTATTAGTACTCGCTGTCACCTGGCTGAACTTCGAGAACATTATACTGAGTGGGAGAAACTAGATGCAAAACACCACATGCTGTATGATCCCATGAAAAATTCATCATAGGTAAACGAGTAGGGACAGGTGCCAGATTAGTGGTTGCCAGGGAGCAGGGGAGGTAGGGAATGATAGGGAATGACAAATGACTGACTGCTTAGTGGGTGCGGGGTTTCTCTCTGGGGTGATGGGAATGTTTTGGAACTGGATAATGGTGATGGTGCACAGCACGGGAAACGTAGTTAATGTCAGTGAGTTGTACAATTTTAAATGTTTAAAAAGATAAAGTTTATTTTATCTTAAATTAGAAATATACCTGGAAACATGAAGAGAAAAAAAAAAGCCAAAAGAGAAGAAAAGGAACGCCTTCACTGGAGAGGACAGGCCGACTCCGGTACTGGAACTGGCCCTGGATGTAGCTCATCCGCTGGTTCGGGAGGTGGGGCCGGAGCGGGCTCTAGCTCTGGAGCTGGTGCTGGATTGGGTCTTGCTGCGCAGAGCCCCCTGGCTCTAGCTCTGCAGGGGGAGCCAGTGCTGGCTCCGTGTCGGAGGTGCCGCCGGAGCTGACTGTGGAGCCGGTCCAGCTCGGAGTCTTGCGTTGGCTGTAGCTCTGGGGCTGACAGCGGGCTGACCCCAGAATTGGTGGCCCAGCAGTCTGTGTGTCTGGAGTTGCTGCTGCTGGTGGTGCTTGAGCTACTGGTAGCTTGTGTGTAGGAATCAGAGCACCGGTTGTAGCTGGCGTTGGCTCTGGAGCTGGCTAGGCTCCAGCTTGGAACTGGCGTGCCAAAGCGAGTTCTGGACCTTTCTCTGACTCGACCTCGACCTAGCTCTAGATCTGGTGCTACAGAAGCATCGCTGGAGCTTTCACGGGAGTTGGTGGTAAAACTGCCTCTATTTCTGGCTTTGTGTTTGAGCGGAGACTAGCGTTTTCTGCCTCCAGTTTTGGTGGCGTGCTGCTGCTGGAGTATGTTCTACCTCTGGAGCTGGTCCCAGATCTCCCTGTCCTCTGGGGCCGGTGCAAAAGTCCTGCTGGCTTCGGCTGTAACTTTGGAGCTCATGCTCGAGCCAGGGCTGCTGCTGGCTCCTCCTCTGAGCCCAGCATTGCCCCTAATTCCGCAGGTACTAGTGGAGCTGGTTCTAGCTCTAGGAGTCCTGCTGCACTTCGTCCGGTGGAGAGCATGGGGCTATGGTATCCCTCTTTCCAGGGAGGGGCTTGCTGCCAGGAAGTCCCGATGGGCTCATTCACAAGGAACCTTTCAAAAGAGGTCTGTAGGGAGGAAGCAAGATAGCGGAGGAGTAGGGGACCCTGTTTCAACTGGTCCCTGAATTTACCTGGATGTCTGTCAAGCCATTTTTATCACTCATAAAATCAGCCTGAGATGTAAGAAATATATCTGGATCTCTACAAGCAGAAAAGCACTTTTTGCAAGGTAGGACATGCAGAGTCATGAATCTGCGGGGAGATAATCGGAAGATAAACAGAAGGGGGAGGGAACCTCCCTAAGCTGGTTCCTGGAAAGTGATATAACACCAGAGCACAAAATCAGAACCCTGAGAAATCTGCTGTAGTAAGAGACATCCCTCTCTGAAAGCGGCTCAGGAAATGAAAAGGCGGAATTCTAGGTAGGGCATTGTGGTCTCAGGTTACAAGCGACCACAGAACAAAAGGAGATTCCTGAAAGGGCAGAGGGCCTGAGCATTGGGGCCAGGAAGTAGGTTATGGTCAGTAAGCCCAGCAAGGGGCTCTCCGCCCAGATCGCCATAAACCACAAGCTGGGCTAGTCGTTAACTGCTCTTTCCTTGAACAGCCTGAAAAAATCTGGAACCTGCACCTGAAACTGGGTAAAAACCCGCAGAGCAGTAGTGACCGGGAAGGGGCTCTAGGGTGGAACTTCGGGTGGGCAGAGCACTCAGCCACTCACAGTTTTAGAAGCACAAAG